GTTTGACGTAAGAGAGGTAATGTCCGTTGTGACAGCTCCACCCAGCGTGGACCAGCACAGCATAGAGGACATAGACAAGAGGTCCTGTGTTCTGCTGAGACATGTATGGCTGTATGTCAAGGCACTCAGGGTATTGCACATTCTTAGCAAGTTTGTTGCCTGTTGTATGGAGTAATCTCTTCTCAACTCTGGATGGACCTTGGCAGGAAGTGTTGTAGATGTATATGATGGTGTGTGTGTGTGTGTGCGCGCACGAATCCGCTCGTGGGTGTGTGTGTGTATGTGTGTGTGTGTGTGAGTGTGTGTGTGCGCACTCCTGCGTGTGGGTCGAGACTTTCCCTGAGATCACTGGCACACAAACAGGGCCCTCTTGCTGTGTTTGTTCCTCTCTTTGGATCTCCTGGTCCTCCCTTGCAGAGAAGTGAGAAAGTCCATGACATTCTTATTTCCAGTGATTGAGGTCATATGACCGGCAATTTAAGAAATCATGAAATCAAAAACTTGACTAATCACAATCTAATCCAACTAAAACCTTTGGTTCATTTAAGAAAGGATGAATATGAAAATAACATATCACGCAGCATGGGAGATAATATCTTAATACGTTTGTGATAATGGATCAACATTTGAGAGAGATGAAATAAATAGTTGTAAATTGAGAATAGCATATAACCAGAATTAAACACTGTAAATGCCTGGGTGGTGGGAGTGAGTCCCTGTCTCAGGAAGAAACCTAGAGATTTAAAAGCAGGGCGTCTAAAAGAGATTTGCATACCATTGTTAATACTGGCAGTTGTTTTAGTAAGAAAGGGAAAAATAAACCATTTGTCTTAGGGATTCTTGCATGTATTTTTCATCGTCTGAGATGTTGCTTCCAATTCCACTTAAGCATTGTTGGTGGACCTCGCATTTACCACATTTGGTGGAAAATGTCATGCTGATGAAGGTAGACTTGGTTTCCCAAACTAAGAGGACAGAATTTGGGTGTTTCTTTGGGGCTTTGGCTTACTAGGAATACAGATCCTGGCTCTAGGGATTTTCTTAAAATTTTTCAGAGAATGAGAAAGAGAATAGAATTTAGGCCAGGCGCCAAGGCCTCGAGGTGTACAGAAGCATCCCCGGTCTCAGGGCCCATGAATCAGGATGACTTTAGGGAGGATGGTGGAATGAGAGGACTGTGACCTTTGGCCCCCGTTTCTTTCCATTGTCTTTTCATGGGGCAGGTGTGTTGAATCAGAAGGCTTCCCGGCCCGATGAAAAGAGTCCTGGGGGAAAAGAAGCGCTGCGTAGAGAGTTGCTCCACAGGGAGAAAGGAGCCACCATTTTCAGAAGAATGATCCCAGAAGCATGAGCAGTCCAGATGCCGTGGCTTCACACAAGACGCTGGAGGGGTGTTATGTCTGAAGCGGGGACCTGGGCGTCGGTTTCTTTCATGCTCATAACTGATTTTCAGGTGAGCCCAATGGATCACACTGTCTGCCAGTCATGCTCATCACACTGTACTTGCACACACGTCACACAAAGACACTGTTATACGCACATTTGTGTGCTTGAGCAGGGTTGCACCAAGATTCTGTGGTTGTACGGAGCCCTGAGTTATGCCCTGGACATCTTTCCTCTCGGGTTGGTCAACTTGGATCATTGTACCAAAGGAGAAACGGAGCCTGAAATCCAATAGCGAATACGCAAAAAGGAAGGGGCCATTTCCCACAATCATTTCCACTGCAACACCACCTCGGATGAACAAGTCTCACTTCAGGTCAGGGACTGGTGCTTCAGAGATGCACCCTTCGCAGCTGGACGGTTTGACCCGGAATCTCCCAAATGCCATTTTGATACACACCGAATGAGATTTATTTCAGTGCTTGCTGATTTTATTTTAGTTGAATACACACACGCTCCTGTGTTTGATTTCCTTTATTATCAATACGACTTATTCCAAAATGCTCGCATACCAGTGGATGATTTCCTGCTTCAATTCATTGGAAATGGACACCATTCAATAGGCAAGTGTGTCTGTCTGTCTGTCTCCAGCATTCTGTGGGTTCCACCAAGGGCACAAGTCCTAGGGCGCCTGACGTCCATTCACAAAGCAATGTAAAAACGGCGAGGCAGGTTCAAAAGAAGAACACCTTCCTCTCTTCAAATGCGTCCCAGTTTCCACTACTCAAGGTGCGAGAAGGATCCACAGAAGTCCCAACGTTCGCAAACTTTCAGCTTCTGGTGCTCACCAACAACTGACGAATGAAACAACCCCAAGAGAAAATAGTCACCCCGTGCCCTGAAATAACTCCACGCGCAACCCTACACCGCAATAGTCAATATCAGAAATTCACACTGAATGTCATCTACCATGAACACAAACACACCAGAACAATCCCTCCACAGGTTCGGAGACTCACGACTGCAAACTCGATGTTTCCCATGTCTGGGCTCATCTGAAATGCAGCCATCACTATCCAGTTTTCCCTCTTGTGTAGACAGAAACCTGGGCTCCTCATTACTTTAGGTCGGATTGACTGCGTATGAGATACAATCATCCTTTCAGGCATTGAAGGACAGGAAGTTGGACCTGTGCTTTCTAACTTGAGAATCATCAATGAAGTACAGTTAATAACACAGTATATTTGTTTCCTTAATATCAAAGAAGGATCCGTGCAGTCAAATAGCTATTCCAGCGATAACCTTTCCATGTTCAGCCTATTGATTCTGTGTCTGAGTGAAATGACTTGCCAGTGGGGACCAAGACATGCCTTTGCAGGAAATGCTCTTGTGGAAGCTATATATCCAAATCATAAAGCATCAAGTGTTGGAAACATGCACTGAAGTTAGACGAAATACTCAGTGCACAAATTAGACTGTGAAAGACTTTCAGGAAATAATGCAATCACCGACATACCAATTGATGACATTCCCCAAATTTATGATTGCAAGTAAAGAGAAATA